AGGTCTATTGCACGATTCTTCGTGCAAGGGGCCTCTAGTGTATAAATATCAGGTTAATGGAAAATGGTCATATAAAATACAAATACTAAATAAATATTATTATTAGGCATCATCAGAATAAATTCTAACTTGAAATTGTATTTTAAGAAGGATCAGGTAGCATTGTATTTTCATGTTAGCCCTCACTGTTAAAGTAATATATAAGCACATCAATTTCCTAACCATACATCCTATATAATAAAAAGCCAATATGCAAATTGCCCCCTCAGGAGTTCGACCGACTGGGAGTTTGACTGCTTGCTATGATGTGCACTGACCACCAGGGGCTGGTGTGGAACAAAGGAAGGCCTCAGCCAGCAGGCGGCAGCTGGCAGCTGGGGAAGGAAGCCGGGTGTAGGGATCCTATCTGTGCATGAATTTGTCCACCAGGCCTCTAATATAGAATAAACTTAAAGAATATAGGTTTCAGGTGGAAGGAATGGGTAATAATAATAATAGGATACAGGTAGGATTTCCAGGACTAACATGGGAGGCCCTGGGTGTGTGGTGGAGGAACACTGTTGATTAAGCCCGAGGACAGTACCCCAAAGTGTAGGTTTCATGGTAACATTTTGAAGCATCATTTCTTGATTGAATGTGACTATCACTGAATATAAAAGGCAAAAGGGGCCAAGTAAGAGATAATATCAGACAGAAAAGAGGAATAAGGATACCTACACAAATTGTACCTGCTTCATAAAGTCACAGGTGGTCGATGGGAATAGATATTTGGATTACTGATGTTATGTAGATCAAACAAAAATTATAAAGATAAAGGCAAAATTAAGATCAGAGGGGAAGCTCAGCTTGTGTATTGGTGATATAACTGGATGTACATTGTTGGGAAAATATCTGTTTTTGTTTGCAAAGAATTGTATGGCTACTGCTCTTTGGTTTCTAATCAAATACTGCCGTCTAGTGGCAACACTACTCTCTAGCATTGCAAAAAATAGTGAACATCAGGCATATCAGATCTGACCTTTCATTCCATTCTCAACCCTTCCCATCCCCACAAAAACCCACACAATTCACTGTAATTTTTCCTTAGGTCAAAGATTCATGTAGATTTTGTAGATATTTGTGAATTCTCATATTGTATGCATGTGTATTTTACCATCAGGGCTAAGGTATTTTATTCCACTTCTATAATATCTGGAAAAAAAATATTGAGCCTGAAGACTGACACTTATCAGAAAGTATAAATAAAGATTTCTACTAATTTTTAAATATTTTTATACCAAATATATTTTAAATTTAAAACATTTAATTTGACTCATTTAAGATTTATATAGTGTAATTTTTCTAACTCTCCATACATAATTGAAGATAGAAGTAGATATTACGTTTCTCATCTAATATCACTTAAAAAAATCTTATCATTTAATATCCAGAAAAAAAAATCCTAAATTCTTCTGTGACTTTATCCAGAGTGAGGAGGAAAAGAATCCTTTCCTTTCACAAGTATGTGAGATCTTAAGCAACTTTCAAAAGACCTTGAGTTGATGTAAGGGTCCAGATTTCCTGCCGATGGATCAGCTCTTGGAAAAGTTAGTGCTGGTGCCGAAACCGGTTTGGCTCAGTGGATAGAGCGTTGGCCTGCAGATTGAAAGGTCCCAGGTTCGATTCTGATCAAGAGCATGTACCTTGGTTGCGGGCACACTCCCAGTGGGAGGTGTGCAGGAGGCAGCTGATCGATGTTTCTCTCTCATCGATGTTTCTAACTCTCTGTCCCTCTCCCTCCCTCTCTGTAGAAAAAAAAATCAATAATAAAAAAATAATGTTAGTGCTGGCTTCACCTATGAGGGCTTCCAACCAGCAGGTAGTCTTAAGTAGGAGAGTTTTGCTAATTCTGTCATTAAACAGCCTCCAGGCACACAGGGGAGTGTCATTGTTAACAGTATAATGATCCGGTCTTCTTTTAAAATATCATTTTTACTGTTATTAGAGAATTGACATAGGCGAGTTACCCCAAATGTTTGTGTCAAATTATAAATACAATGTATCTAGTTCTAGAGAGTGGGGGAGTGCTCTAAAGATAGAGCACTTTTTAGAAAATAACTTCTATTTCAAAAACTCAAAGCAATTGGTTCTATCATATTTTAATAATTTATATTAATAAGTAAAGAGGTCCATTAATATGAATGACATTAAAACACACACACACACACATAAAGTAACTAGGATCAAGTAGATGGAAAGTGGGTGACGATAAGTGCTATTTTCTCAAATTATTTCCTAATATTGTTTGGGAGTAAGAATACAGTGAAATGCTGATGCAAATACCCAGGCTCATTATACACTTTATCAATGTAGCTGGCCAATTCATACAGAGGAATCAGACAGACCATTTTGCACTGGCCTCAGCCTATGGAAAAACTGGTGTTGCCGCTGAATTGGCCCTTGTGGTTGGTATGGTTGCAAGATGCCCAGCTGCAATAGCCATCAGGAGACGGTGAGAAGATACAGGTTCATTACGTGCAAGACCTGGCAATTACTCAGCACATGTGGGGCCAGGCAGCGAGATTGCAGGGAGAGAGAGCTGTGCCCAGGGGCCTGGAGTTCTGTGACAGGCACCTCTCACAGACTCACAGAGGTGTGATGGGACAGCCCCCCAAGGGAGAGGGCTGTCCCCGACCTCAATTCTTATCTTCTCATATAAATGGACTCAAATGAAAGACTTCAGACGATTGCATTGTGAATAAGCCAATTTATTAAAAAATAAAGCATCCACATTTATTAAAGAAGCAAGGCCAGCCAACCTATACATCTGGCTTAAGTAGCACAGATGGGCTCTCAGCTAATCTGAAGAGAGAGTGGGGTGGGTGGTTTCTACCTTATACACCCTCCTGTCTATACGTTTTAAAAAAATCCCTCTGCTAGATACGCTGGTACAGGTGAGCTGAAGTTCCCCCACTTTCTTTGTTATGGTTTTTCCACAACAAAGAGAAGCACCTGGCAATTTTATCTTGATAAACCCAAGACTGCTGGCTTCCCTGTTTCCCCCTCCTCCTTGCTGTTTTAACAGCTTCATGGTGATTTGCACTAAGTGGTCTCTGATTAGTTTAAATTAGGATACCTGTGTTACCAGGAAACCCCTGTCGCAATCATAATAATGATGAAAGGCTAATATGCAAATGGTCACCATGCTGTGTCTTCTAACCACCTATCAGTGGGGACCTGATACTGCATATGCCTGGCCAGAGCAGGGGACTCCAGGCCAAAGATTCCGCCCAATGGGGCTTGATGGAGGTGAGGCTGGCCAAGCCTGGGTCTCCTATGATTTGGAGGCACAAGCAGGTAGGTGGGGACTTGACTCTGGGTCCTATGGTGTGCCCCAGACTCTGACAGGAGGAAGGTTTTCATATACATTTTACTAATTTTCTTTCATCTCTGACACTTCTATTATAGAGAAAGGGCAAATAGCAATTTTAAAGTATTTCCTCCAATTAATTCCCTTTTAATGTGCATGAACCGGGCCACTAGTGTGCAATAATGAAGGCAGAGTTGAATTATATAAGGTGTTTATTGAGAAGGCCAACCAACCAAGAAGACAGGGACCTTACAAACATCCAAAACCTGTTTTACAGCAAGGAGCAGGGGGCAGGATTATATTGGGAAAATAGACTAGGGTGAGTATTTTATTGATTTTTTTTTTTTTTTTTTTTTTTTTTTTTTTTTTTTTTTACAGAGAGGAAAGGAGAGGGATGGAGAGTTAGAAACATCGATGAGAAAATCATTGATCAGCTTCCTCCTGCTCACCTCCTACTGGGGCTGTGCCCGCAACCAAGGTACATGCCCATGATTGGAATCGAACCTGGGACCTTGCAGTCTACAGGCCAGTGCATATCCCCTGAGCCAAACTGGTTAGGGCCCTAAATCTTATTATATCCTGATTGTAACATGCTAACTGACACCCACCTGCACCCTGATATATAAGGGAAGAAAAGGGGTGGTGTCCCCTGTATTTTCTGGGGAGCTGGCTCCTATACTCTCTCCCTTGAAATTTTCTAATACCTAAAGAGTTCCCTAAGACCAATAGACAAAACCCTCTTTCACAAGTGAGATGGAAAGAAATGTAACAACAACAAAAAAAAAGACATTGTGATCTTTCTGTTTTCCCACAGATTCTCTCGCTGCAGACTTGCCATTATAACTGGTCCCACTTGTCTTATAGTCATGATTGACTTTGCTCCCAGGTTGCCCTGGCTGATCTAGATTGCTGAGTTTTCCTGTTAATTTACACTTGGATTTGAAAGTTACAGTGTTTTTGTGTGTTAGTTTAGATACATATGCTTGCATGCTCAGCCACCATTCTGATTATGAACACCCTGTCCTGGCAGGTGGGCCTCCTGGAATTAGTCACCAGCACCCCCCCCCCCACCACCACACACACACACACACACACACACACACACTGGAAAACCTATGTGGGCTCTCACTGGAGCCCAGACCTGTGCAGGAGAGTTACCCTTTGAGCATCTTTGTTGCTTTTGTTTCCTTTTGCTTTCTGGTAGCAGGTGTTAGTTGGAACCATTCTAAGCTGTTGGAGAGGTTCAAAGGATGCTGCGGGAGAAGACCAGACTTGCCTCTCTTCTTTGTTACCAGATGTGTCCCCCGGGCTGTTTAGACGGAGCATCTCTGGGCACCTCGGCCTGCGGGCACCTGTGCGTGCGCCCCGCGAGGGCAGCGGTTGGCAGCGGCGCCGGGTGACTGGTTCGGACCCAGAGGTTCTGAGCCGTTGAACGGTCCTCCTGAACGGACGGTTGGCTTGTCCAGAGGGAGTGCTGGGTTCCGGAGGCGCGGAGAGCGGAGGGGACCGAGCTCTCTGCCCCGAAGAAGATACTCTCCCCTGACAGGAGGCCCCGGGGATTGTCTTCAGGCTCCTCCACCGACAGCACCGGGAGGAGCAGCGCGGGGGACGCAGCGCGCGGGCACCTCATCCAGAACAAGGACCCGGCCAGATGCACAAGGCGGCCAGCGCGGGCGACGCAGCGAAAGTGGAGGAGATGCTGTTGCTCCAGAAACATGGCGTGGATGACAGAGACAAGATGAACAGGTAATTGGGCCTGTGAGGCCCTGGCCTTGACCTGGGGTCAGCCCAGAGGAGGCCTCACCTGGGAGAAGCGCTCACCTGCTGGCTCACCTGCAGAGGGTGTATGAATGTGTGTGTGTGTGTGTGTGTGTGTGTGTGTGTGTGTGTGTGTGTGTGTGTATGTGGTGGAGTGTTGCAGCCCTCCTGTCCACCAGGCTCTGGGCTGTTGACCCTCCAGGCCTGTGGTGGGGACCTTAGGTTGTGGGTAGCCATCAGGCCAACTTTAAGAGCAGCAAAAACAAACAAAAAGCTTTAGGGCCCATACATAATTCCCCGGATAGAGCACTCTATTGACAACTGAAAAGCGATGTAACTAAATATCAAAATAGAAATGAAAGTAAGTATGCATACAGCGTTTTATTTTTTGATGTTCACCTTTTATACCATAATGTTATATACTGTAGGAAAAGTGCATAATGAGAGAAATAATTCCCATCATAGATCAACTTCTGGGTTAAAAGTTCTTTGGATAAAATCTGATAACCCTTGTCCGCCTATATTGTGTGGAGGAACCTCAGAAGTCACTTTGTAGTGGGAAGCTGCTGTGGTCCTGATTAGGAAGACTCACGGTCTCAGAATGTGTGCTCTTCCCTTGTTTATCAATTTTACATACCAATTAAATATAGTTTAAAAGTTTTTTAGTTACACAGGTTATCTTTTATTGTGCTGAAATGAAGAACATTAGATTATCTTTTATTGTTGTGCTGAAATGAAGAACATTTTTGTAAAGTAGACATCAACATGTGCTATAATTTTCCACAAATTATTTGTTTATTAACAGCTGAAAAGATAATAAATGATTGGAACAGAATGGAAAATGACCAAACACCCAAATATATGGAAGATTTTAGAACTTGTCATTGGTGATATTCCATGTTTGTAGGAAAAGGTGAATTGCATACAAATGGTAGAGAAATACCTGTTAAATATTTGGAGAAAACTAGCTAGATTTCTATCTCCCCCCCCCCTCCAAAGTTCCAGATTGAGAAAGTTTTGAATATACAAAATGAGAAAAGTGCCAGAAGAAAACACAATTGCCTATTTACACATTTTTATGTTGATTGAGCAATATAAAAAAAAAACCCTCTGTCTGTTAGAAAATAATGTTAAAAAGATGTACTTGTAAAATATGTAATATATAGATATGTATTTGGAGAAAAAATATGACTTTTTTTTTTACAGAGAAGTCTTTGAAATCAACAAGAACAACAACAACAACAACAAAAAAACCCCTCTAATTTGAAAGTGGAAAAGAGTACTTTTTGTTTATCTATGAGTGACCAATGGACAAAGGAAAAATATTTAGTGGCCCTCGTAGAAAAGTAATTTAAAAAAGGAGTAAAATGATGTTTTTCATCCACAAAGTTTGTAAAGATGACCAACAATAGTCCTTATACAGCTGCTTAAAGTTTGTTTCATTTTACTTTGGAAATAGGCAATTTGATGCGAAATGAATATGTACCCTGTACCCCAAAATTCCATTGATATTAAAATATGTTTATAAAATAATTAGATAAATTACATACACTTTGTTTTTCTCAGCACTGCTTAAAGTAGCAATGAATTAAGAGCAAATGAGTTTGGTTATACATACACACTATGTATATTATACTATGATCTTATATTTGCTGAACATATTTATAAAATGTGATGTTTATTCCTGAACATTTGTATTATAAGTGGAATTTTCTTAAAACAAAAACAAAAAAATGATTTCTGTCCTGGCCCATGTGGCTCAGTTGGGTGGAGCATTGTCCCATCACCAAAGGGCCGTGGATTTGATTCCTGGTCAGGGCACATACCCAGGTTTCAAGTTCAGTACTCAGTTGGGTGTGTGTGGGAGGCAACCTATTGATTGATGTTTCTCTCTCACTTCAGTGTTCACTCTCACATCAATGTTTCTTTCTCTCCCTCTCTCTTCTTCTCTCCCTCTAAAACCAATAAAAACATATCCTCAAATGAGGATAACAAAATAATAATAAGGCACTATTGCAGTGCAAGCAAAAAAAATTATGTACCAATAAGAATTAAAAAAAAAATGCTGCCAATTATAGTTGTAAGACATTCTGAATTATAAATTGCATTCCACTGTCAGAGATGTAAAAGTGAGAGAGAATAAGCACCTTAGAATTATGGAAATACCATGTTCTTGTGAACCTTAAGACATATCCACAAAGTAGACATTATATCATTTTGCTTAATTGAAATGTTGTCTTTGTAAAGTCATAGTAATAGTAATAATGATAATATTATCTAATAATTATTTAGCATTATGTGTGCCAGAAACTGTAATAAACTTTGCTTAGCTTGTTATTTAAACAAACGATGGTATCCTGTGAGATTACTACTATTTTTATTCTCATTTTGTTGATGAGGAAATTGAGGCACAGAAAGGCCAAGTGATAGCTAATGCAAAAAAGAGTTAAAATAGGATCAGACCCATGTCGAGTTGAATTCCCAGGTCAAGCTTTCTCTCTTCATATTGGTTTATCCTTCATTAATGTGGTGAATAACGAGAACTAATAAATATTGTATAGTCTAAAGAAGAAAACTAATATTTGTTCTGAAGGCATAGGGATACATGTTTACAATTACATGAAGAATTGAATGCTTTGAGATAGTGCACTCTTAGTTCCTAAAGAGTCCTCTCACTTTCACAGGACTGCTTTACATTTGGCCTGTGCCAATGGCCATCCAGAGGTGGTGACTCTCCTAGTAGGCAGGAAATGCCTGTTGAACCTCTGTGACAACGAAAACAGGACAGCCCTGGTGAAGGTACGTAGTAGCCAACTATGTCAACACGAGATGGATTTGATTTCATTGTTTAGAAGGAAAAAGAATTTATCTCACGCAACTATAAGTAATTGGGGAAGCTAGTGGAATGCTTAACTTGAATTCCTTGAATTACAATCTATTTCTTGGCATAATATTATCAGGCTGTACAGTGCCAGCAAGAAGAATGTGCAGCTATTCTGCTAGACCATGGTGCTGATCCAGATGTAATGGACATCGATGGCAACACTGCTCTCCACTATGCTGTCCTTGGTCAAAATATAGCTATGGTGGAAAAGCTGATTTCACGCATGGTGAATACTGAAGTGAGAAACAAGGTATAGATCAGATAAGCTTATTTATAAAATATTTGAGATACATCTCTTCTTTAGCCACAGGCATTTTCTTTCTCACATACATATACTGACTATAATATATCAAGCCCCATCACTATGGAAACAACTCCAAAGCCAAATCAGGGAGGGTTGGAGAAATGTATTCATGAAAAGAGCAAAGCTCTCTCTGCCAGCTACCCTTCCACCCCAGAAGGAAGGACTTGTTATGGGTGCTTGTGACCAGGTGATAAGCTCAGAGCCCACTAAGGACTGAAGGCCTAGGGGAGTGAGGTGATGCTGGGGACTGCTGCTCTGTAGGCTGGGTTTAGGAAACGGGTGCTGCTGGGGAGGGATGGAGACCTGGTACCCAGAAAGGGGAGCTGGGTGAGTGCAAGTGGGAACAGGAAGCAGGATCCACAGCCAATAAAATAATGCCAGTATACCACAACAGATACTAGGTCAGGAACAAAGATTGCTGGAACCTGTACTCTAAATGTTTGAAGTCAATCTTGGAGAATGATGTTGCAGTTGATCTATTGAAGAGGGGGAGGAGGACATTTTAAAGAAAAGGAGCAGTTAGGCAACAGATTTTTATTTACTTTCTATATTATATGTTTAAGTTCAGAGGATCTTTTATTATAAAAGTTTTAAAATTCAGTGCGGATATATGTAATTTTATAAATTGTAAATCGTTTTTTGTTGCTTTGCAGGATGACCAAACACCGCTTTCACTTGCTAAAAGTAAAAACAAAGAAAAAATGGTGGAACTGTTAAGTAGGAGTACATATATGCATGTGGTTGATCAGATGGACAGGTACTCTTGTTTGTCTTTTTTTTTTTTTTAACTTTAGTATTGTTCTAGAGTGTTAACAATCATTGAACTCAGAAAAATTAAGTTAATTAGAAGAGGATCTATAATTATAAAAGAGAAACATGGAAATTGACCATCACTATGCTGCACCCACCAGCCAACAGGAGGGAATATGCAAATTAGAAGGAAAAGATGGCCGCTGCCCAGCTGCTCCAGGTGCAGAGTGCTGGGCAGGCAGGACGCCTGCTATGAGCGGGAGGGCGGGGGGGGGGGGGGGGCGAAGGAATCTACAGGAGCGGCACTCTGGCCGCCGCAAAGACGAAGACTGTAAACTGCGGAGTCTGCAGTGAAGACCAAGACAGCAGACTCCAGCTGGGGTCTGCAGCGAAGACGAAGATGGCAAACTCCAGCCAGGTCTGTAGCAAAACTGAAGAAGGCAGAATCCAGCTGGAGCCAAGGCCTGGGTCCCGGGTGCTGGAGGAAAACCGGGGCTGGAAGCCAAGGGAAGGATGGCCTATTGCAGGAATCTTTTCGTGCAACGGGCCTCTAGTTAATTTATAATTATATAGTGAAACATCAACATATCATCCTATAGAAAAGCAATTATTCTTACTGGTCAGCTGGAAGAACAGTATACTTAAAGATTCATATTCATTACGATATTGACTATGCTATTTGCATAACTCTCTATTTGCGGTTGATTCTAACTGGAAAGCTTTTCCCTCAGATATCCTCATGCACACTTTTTTTATTCCTTTAATTCTTTACTTAAAAGCCATGTTTGGGCCAGCCTAATATTTTGCTCACCACTAAGCCAAAAAACATATCAAAGTTGTATTTCTTTGCTTTAGTTTTTCTCCTTTAATGTTCTGTATAGTTTGTCTATCTAGTTTTTTGTTATTGTGTGTTTATTTCCCTCTCATGACTAGGATGTTTGTCTGTTCACTGCCATACAGCCTTAGTGCTTAGAAAGGTCCTGGGATACAGTACTTCACAAATATTTACTGAGTGAATGGAGTGAGTTTGACTTATTGTTTTGAAATTTATGCTAATTCTAACTTAAGCAATAAACAAGTTTGATGTGGAATCATTCTGACAATTTTACTTGTCAATTATGTACATTTTAAATATTATTTTGGCCTTTTGAAATAAGCTCATTTTTTCCATGAGTGCTTTTCCATTTAGGGACTAAAGCCCAATATTATGGATACTCACCATTTTATAATTGATATTTATAATAGTTTTAGTTATAGTAAAATGGGTCAAAGGAATAGCAAGCTTCATATATTAAAAAAAATGGAAAATGGAAAAGTGGTAAATTATTCTAGGACTTTAACAAATGTGAGCCCTCAATATCTGAAATAAAGAGATGACGTTGGAATATTTTGCTCACTATAATAACAGAGCTATGATGGTCAGGCCTACTCTTTTCTAACAGATAAGAGTATGGTCTTCTTATATATGGTTTTTGGAGAAGTGGAGTTTAAAGATTAGTTGACTTTCAGAGGCCTAAGTGGGTTGACAACAAATGAAGCAACATGATTAATTAGGTGAGATGGGTTTTGATTGGCTGGCACTCTGAGACATGTTTATTCAAATAAGATTGCCTCTGATGGCTTTCTTTCAGAAGGAAGAAGCTGACATTGTTTGGTGATTGAGGCTTATGATCACCAATTAAACACATTTAAAATTGGTTCCGTTGGCTTCTTGTTCCCATAGCTACTTGTTAAACTTTTTCTTAATTTGAGACAATTTTAACTGAATATTTTCTGTTTAAAAGTTGCCTTTGATCAACTATGTTCAAAATGAAAACTATTTTATATTCTATAATTAGAGACTTATTTTTGAGGATTGGGTCAAGAGGAATTGCTTAATAATTGCTGTCAGGAAGATTCCTCTTTCTCTTTAGATGCAGTGTTAATCAGAAGAGTTTTTGCATAACTGTATTTTTAAAAAATAATTTAGTATTGTTTTTGTTTTTGGTACTTTTAGTCGCACAGGCTCAACTCCTAAAATAATCTCTCAGGGTAAATTTAAACATTTTTGTATATTTTTGAAGGTATATAATAATGATATTCTTATGAATGCATTTACTTTCTGTCTCTACTTTTCTGTTGGTAAATCTAGCTTTTTATGTTAAGACTAGAGGACCAGTGCACAAAATTCATGCACGGGTGTGTGTGTGTGTCCCTCAGCCCAGCCTGCACCCTCTCTAATCTGGAACCCCTTGAGGGATATCCGACTGCTCGTGGGATGTCCACAGGGATTGAGCCTAACCAGGCAGTCAGACATCCCTTTCACAATCCAGGACTGCTGTCTCCCAATCACTTGCCTGACTGTATGCCTGATTGCCCTCTAACTACTCCCCTGACAGCCTGATCAATGCCTAACTGCTCCCCTGCTGGCCCAATTGCCCCTAACTGCCCTCTATTGTCAGTCTGGTCGCCCCTAACTGCCCTCCCCTGCAGGCCTAGTTGCCCCTAATTGCACTCCCCTGCTGGCCGTCTTGTGGTGGCCATTTTGTGTCTACATGAGGGCAGCTATCTTTGACCACATGGGGATGGCCATCTTGTGTGTTGGAGTGATGGTCAATTTGCATATCACCTCTTTATTATATAGGATTAAATTATACAAAAGTCATCAAACAATTTTATTCTCAAAGATAATCATAACTAATTGAATTAGTGCCATTTTGAGCTCTGTTTATATTTTTAATTTCTAAATTTTTTCCAACTTTACTAAGATATAATTGACATATAATATTGTATATGTTAAAGGTGTACTGTATGCTCATTTGGTACACTTTTATGCTGTAAAATGATTACCACAGGAGCATTTGTTTACATTTCCAGTACCTCACATAATTACCACCATTTCTTTTTTGTGATGAGAACATTTACTCTCATAACAACTTTCAAATAAGTAATACAGCATTGTTAACTATAATCACCAAGTCTACTTCAAGTGAGTGATATAGCAGTTTAAGTGAAATAGATCAAGATGGAAGATGATGAAATCTTTATATTTTTTATCTCTAGGTAATGGGATATTAGCAGTGATTACTTTTACTGGAAATAAAATAGCATAATGTAGTATACAAGCCAAGGCAAGATTTGTAATTATCAACTATGTTGAATGATGTTGAAAGGTTAATATGAGGACAAGTGACTGACAAAGAGCATTTTTAAGTAATAAATAGCTTCCATGGAAGCCAGACTATAGCAAAGAAGTGTTAACAGTTCCTTAGAGAATTTTTACTGGGAAAGGCAATAGAAAAATGGATGATGATGGAAGACAAATGTAAGTTAAAGGGAATTTTCTTTATTTTCTTAGTTTAAGATGGGAATTTTCCAGTATGTCTGTGTATTGCTGGAAAGGATAGAGAAGGATATTGCATTTTCAAGTATTAGAAAGCAATTGATTGTATTATATTATACTTTAAAAATTAGAGTAAGCTATCATGTACTGAATATGCAGATAATTACTTAAAGTTATACTATCCTAAACAGATTTCAAAAATTATATAATAATAAATATGCAAACATGGAGACCATACTGAATAGAATTTAATCATTTCTTACTATTTCTAGATATTACAGTGCTTTTGATGGTATTGTCATGAATTGCTATGATTTTGTCAGGTACCCTAAAGTATTAGGTTATATTAACTTTTTTTTATAGATTCTGGGGGAAAGGAAAAGATTTTATTTATGTACAATAGAAAAGTAAACTGGTAGCAATCTACCACAAATTTTTACTTTTAGATTATAAGTTTCTAAAGTATAAAAACCATGCCTTCTTTTTCAAAGGTGTCATTGACACATACTGTGTGATCAATAAGTATATGACTAATGCATAAATAGTTAAATAGTTGGATGAATTCTATTGATGAATTTGTTTAGAAAAAGCAAATCTTTATTGAAAGAATACTTCTAATATTGCCTAGGTATAAAGTTTTAATTTTTAAAAAATACATGTAATTTTCAGAAATTATTATTTATAACTAGAATTGGAATAATACTAATATAAATGTATTTGCTATCATAGTATTTAAAAACACTTAAAATAAATATCACTTTTTTAAAAATATATTTTATTGATTTTTGTACAGAGAGGAAGGGCGAGAGATAGAGAGTTAGAAACATCAATGAGAGAGAGTCATAGATCAGCTGCCTCTTGCACACCTCCTTCTGGGGATATGCCCGCAACCAAGGTACATGCCCTTGACCAGAATCGAACCTGTGGCCCTTCAGTCCCCAAGCCGACGCTCTATCCATTGAGCCAAACCGGTCCCAGCAATAAATTTCACTTTTAAGGCAAATGTTTTAAAGCATGATATCCTGGGTTTAGATTCTAGATAGCTGTATGGACTTAGGCAAGTTATTTTGCCTTTTTGTGTGTGTGGTTTTTTTCTTTTCTTTGTAAAATACTGAAAATAGTGCCAACCTCCAAGAATTTGTGTAAGGATTTAAAAGCCCTTAATATCTGTAAAGTGCTTATAATAATACATAATACTTGCATGGTAAGTCCTCAGAAAATGGTTATCATGGCTATTCAAAAAAGATTTCTTTTATTTTAGGACTTAAGTCATACTTTCCAAACAGTTCTTAGTGCTGGTAAAAGTTTGTTTTCATTGGAATATACAAAAACAAACGAACAAACAAACAAAAAAAACCCAAAAAACCAAAACCACACACAAACAAAAACCTGGTATATTAAATTTTTCTAACAAATAATGCAAATGATAAACATGCTTTTCCTTTTTATTTGTCAGCTTGATCTAAATTTTAAACTTTGTTGTAATATTATTAGTGATATATTTTATTTGTCCCATGATATTATTTATTTTTTAATTTTCCTTATAGAAAATAAATTACAAATACAGAGATTTTATATAAGAAACAATAGCTTTAGATAGTCTTTGTATTCTAAGTATTTAATGTTTGCCTGAAAATAATTGTTTGATATTTTTTTTCTTAGATCTTCAAATGAAATATCTCACGAAGAGTGCAAGGTATTGTAAAAAATATATTACCAAAGAAAATAGGAATCTCCTTTTGTTGTAGAGACATTTTAATGGAAAAAGTAATTTGGAAAACAGTAGTTATTCATAAAAGTACTTTTTAAAATAAAAATAAATCCTTTTAAGAATAACTATTATTTTGCTTTTAGGGAAAGGTGGATGTTGATCACCTCTGTACACTTACTGTATATATAAATATTTGGGGCCATTTTGAAAAACAGTATTCTTTATTTTTAGGTCAAAGAGAAAATGAACTCCGTGGATGACCTTGATTGCTTAACTCAGTCATCTGAAGCAATTTCAGAGCATTGCCTGTCACCTTATTCCAATTATGAGAATTTCATGTTGCTAATTAAACAACTTTGTAAGGATTGTAAAGGTAGCACCATTATATAAATTTAGAGCCTTTTTATATAAACTGTGATAATATATGGTACATTGTATAGTTGTGCACCACAGAGAATGTATTATTGAGATATTTATCTAGGATAATATGTTTCATATTAAAATGAGAATGATTCTATGCACGCAGCCAAAAAGCTATGATGATTTCTACTGACTTTTTTCAGTGAAAACAGTGGCATGTAGCATGTTTCTTGATTTTGCTTCTGTCTGACACTTTCACCCAAGGCTTCAAAGAATTCCCTCATAGAATACTGGAATAAACTCAGAACTGTTTTTCCTACTATTTCACTTTCTGGAATCTTGGTCTACATCGCAACCATAATTATTACATATTTTAAACACTTGGATCTCATCATGTTTAAAACTCAGCTATTACTTCTCTTTACTCCATGGGTATTGGAGAGAATGGTGGTGTTCAAGTTTACTATATGCTGGATGATTTTCTGGATACTTGTTCTTGTTACTTACTGACTGAAATCTCAGACCTTCATTGTGAATTTGCCTATTTCTCTTTGAAGTTCTATCAATTATTGCTTCCTGTATTTTGAAGCTGCTATTAGTTTGCATGATCATTTAGGATTGCTTTGCTGCTTGTAAATTTAAAATTATGCAGTGACCTTGATATTATTTTTACTCAGAAACCTTCTTTGTTTGGTATTATTATAGCCACTGTAGCTAAGCTAAGCTTTTGTCAGGTGTTAGTGTTGTGCATCTTATTTCTATGCTTTTAAAAAAGACAACTTTTTTGTTGTCTTTAAAAATAGGTTTTTATTGATTTTAGAGAGGAAGGAGGAGGGAGAGAGAGATAGAAACATCAATGACGAGAATCATTGATTGGCTGCCTTCTGCATTCCCTCTACTTAGGATAGATCCTGCAACCTGGGCATGTGCACTGACCAGGAATCACACTGTGACCTCCTTTTCAAGTTCATTTCTTACAGGTGGCATATGGTTGTGCCCTGCTTTTTTATCCAGTTGGACAATTTGTCCTTTACTTGAGGTTTTTATACCATTTTCATTTGATGTGATTATTATTAGTTGTGTTGAATCTGTCATCATGCTGTTAGATTTCTCTTTGTCCCATCTACTTGTTCCCTTATGTTTTTGGCTTGTTTTAGATTAATCAATTTATTTTTATGATTTAGGCGCATTTTTTAGCTTTTAGCTGTAATGATTTTGCTATATTAGTGTTTGGTTAAAGGTAAATGACTAAGTTATCACAGGGCACCTTGAAGTAATATTATATAACATCATATATAACTTAACAAATTTACAATAGTTTACTTCCATTTCTTCTCTCCTGGCAGACTCTTCCTAGATCTGTGGGATTATAGTTTCATTAAGTTGTAGAAAGTTTGTGGCCATTGTTTCTTAAAATATTTTTCTTGTCCTTTCTGCTTCTTTAGGGATTTATATATTAGCCATTTGAAATTTTCTCACAAGTCACTGATGTCCAATTTACTAATATCTTTATTTTGTGATGTCTAATATGCATGCATCCCCATTGAGTGTATTTTTTATATCTGACATAATGTATCTCTATAAGTGCTATTTGACTTAAAAAATAACTTTCATGCCTCTAGGTATCTTTTTGAGCTTAATTTTGGGATATAGTTGAGTTACTTGTAAATAGTTTGATCCTTTTCAGTCTTGCTCTTATGATTTGTTAGGTTAATCCAGAGCAGTGCTCACAGAGGGCTAATTCCTCCCCGCTACTGAGGCAAGACTTTCCTGCCTACTCTGCTCATTGTCCTGTGAGTTCTGAGGTTTTACAGCCTGGCTAATGGGAATAGACAGTATTCCTGGTGCTAGGTGAGCACCAGACACTGTTTCCCTCTCCTCTTTTCAAATGTGTTTTCCTTGGTCTCCTCCCATGTATGCCTCACTGCTAATTACTCAGCGGAATACCCTCTGTAGATCTCAGGGTTCTCTTTTTTTTTTTTTTTATTTTTTTTATTTATTTTACATATTTTATTGATTTTTTTTTTGCCCCCCTCCTTCCCTCCCATGTATCCCCTCCCTCCCCAGAGTTTTATGTCCATTGGTTGTACTTATATGCAGGTATACAAGTCCTTGGGTTGATTTATTGTCTCCCCCAGACCCTCCTCCCCTCCCCGTTGTAATTTGACAATCTGCTTGTTGCTTTACTGTCTCTATATCTATCTTTTGGTTCATCAGTTTATAATGATCTTTATTATCCACAAATGAGTGGGGTCATGTGGTGTTTCTCTTTCATTGATTGGCTTATTTCACTCAGCATGATGTTCTCCAATTCCATCCAGGTTGCTGCAAATGATGAGAATTCCTTCTTTTTTATGGCAGCATAGTATTCCATTGTGTAGATGTACCAAAGTTTTTGGATCCAATCATCAGCTGACGGGCACCTCGGCTGTTTCCAGATTCTGGCTATTGTAGATTGTGCTGCTATGAACATAGGGGTGCATATATCCTTTCTGATTGGTGTTTCTAGTTTCTTGGGATATATTCCAAGAAGTGGGATTACTGGGTCAAATGGGAGTTCCATTCTCAGTTTTTTGAGGAAACTCCACACTGTTCTCCACAGTGGTTGCACCAGTCTGCATTCCCACCAGCAGTGCACGAGGGTTCCTTTTTCTCCGCAACCTCGCCAACACTTGTTGTTTGTTGATTTGTTGATGTTGGCCATTCTGACAGGTGTGAGATGGTACCGCATTGTTGTTTTGATTTGCATCTCTCGGATAATTAGTGACTTTGAGCATGTTTTCATGTGCCTTTTGGCCTTCTTTCTGTCTTCTTTTGTAAATATTCTATTTAGGTCCATTGCCCATTTTTTAATTGGATCATTCATCTTCCTTTTATTTAGTTGTATCAGCTGTCTGTAGATGTTGGAGATTAAACCTTTATCCGTGGTATTATTTGCAAATATATTCTCCCATACCGTGGGCTTTCTTGTTGTTTTGTTGATGGTTTCTTTTGCTGTAAAAAAACTTTTTATTTTGATGTAGTCCCATTTGTTTATTTTCTCTTTAGCTTCCATTGCCCTAGGGGCAGTATCAGTGAAGAAGTTCTTTTGGCATACATCTGAGATTTTGCTGCCTGCGGATGCTTCTAGTATTTTTATGGTTTCCCGTCTGATGTTTAAGTCCTGTATCCATTTTGAGTTTATTTTTGTGTATGGTGTAAGTTGGTGATCTAGTTTCATTCTTTTCCATGTGTCTACCCAATTTTCCCAACACCATTTATTGAAGAAACTGTCTTGACTCCATTGTATATTCGTGCCTCCTTTGTCAAATATTAATTGAGCATAGTGATTTGGGTTGATATCTGGGTTCTCGATTCTATTCCATTGATCTATATGTCTGTTCTTGTGCCAGTACCAGGCTGTTTTGAGAACAGTGGCTTTGTAATACAGTTTGAAGTCTGGTATTGAGATCCCTCCTACTTTACCCTTCTTTCTCAGGATTGCTGTGGCTATTCGGGGTCTTTTATTGTTCCAAATGAACTTTTGGAGAGTTCTTTCTAGGTCGGTGAAATATGCCGTTGGTATTTTAATGGGGAGTGCATTGAACCTATAGATTGCTTTAGGAAGTATGGACATTTTGATGATGTTGATTCTACCGATCCATGAACATGGTATATTCTTCCATCTCTTTACATCTTCCTCTATCTCTTTTTTCAGTGTCATGTAGTTTTCTGCATATAGGTCCTTTACTTCCTTAGTTAAATTTATTCCTAGGTACCTTAATTTTTTTGGTGCGATGGTAAATGGAATTGCTTTTTTAATCTCTATTTCTATAGTTTCGCTGTTGGTGTATAGAAATGCCGTGGATTTCTTGGCATTAATTTTGTATCCTGCTACATTGCCAAATTCATTTATTAAGTCAATTAGTTTTTTAATGGAGTCTTTTGGGTTTTTTATGTACAGTATCATGTCATCTGCAAATAAGGATAACTTTACTTCTTCTTTTCCAATTTGGATGCCTTTTATTTCCTCCTCTTGTCTAATTGCAATGGCTAGTACTTCCAGTACTATGTCAAACAGGAGTGGCGAGAGTGGGCATCCCTGTCTTGTTCCTGTTCTTAGAGGGAATGGTTTTAGTTTTTGCCCATTGAGTATAATGTTGGCTGTGGGTTTATCATATATAGCTTTTATTATGTTGAGGTATGATCCTTGTACTCCCACCTTGTTAAGAGTTTTTATCAGGAAAGGGTGTTGGATTTTATCAAATGCTTTTTCTGCATCAATTGATATGACTATATGATTTTTATCTTTCAGTTTGTTTATGTGATGTATCACGTTTATTGATTTGCGGATATTGTACCATCCTTGCATTCCTGGAATAAATCCTACTTGGTCATGGTGTATGATCTTTGTGATGTTCATCTGGAGTCTATTTGCTAGAATTTTGTTGAGGATTTTGGCATCTATGTTCATGAGGGATATTGGCCTGTAATTCTCTTTCATTGAGTTGTCTTTATCTGGTTTTGGTATTAGGGTGATGCTGGCTTCATAGAAGGAGTTTGGAAGTGTTCCTTCCTCTTGGATTTTTTGGAATAGTCTGAGGAGGAAAGGTTTTAGTTCTTCCTTGAATGTTTGGTAAAACTCTCCTGTGAAGCCATCAGGCCCTGGGCTTTTGTTTGCTGGAAGCTTTTTGATGACTGTTTCAATTTCTTCCCACGTCACTGGTCTATTAAGATTTTTAGATTCTTCCTGATTGAGTTTTGGAAGGTTGTATTTTTCTAGGAATATGTCCATTTCGTCCAGGTTGTTCAGTTTGTTGGAATAGAGTTGTTCGTAGTATTTTGTAACAATCTGTTGTATTTCGGTGGGGTCTGTTGTTATTTCACCTCTTTCACTTCTGATTTTGTTTATTTGGGTCCTCTCTCTTTGTTTCTTGGTTAGCCTGGCTAGAGGTTCATCTATCTTGTTTATTCTTTAAAAAAACCAGCTCTTGGTTTTGTTGATCTTATGTATTGTTTTTTTGGTCTCTATGT